GACTTTAATGGGAAGGAACTTTAATAAAACTAGGAAACAATACAGGTAAGGCAAAGAGTCTAGTTTCTAAATGAAGCACCCAAAGTTACCCGTCAATTTGTGTTTTACATCAGTTGAACCATTTTAAGATTTTTTTTTCCTGTGATTTTTACATATCTGCTGTCTTGTTTTGGCTAATGCCTCCAGATGGTTTTTTTTTTTTTTTTTTTTTTGGCTTAAACTGATGAACTATTTCTCCTGGAGTGGAGGACTCTTGCTTTCCACAATGGACAAATACCTGGAGAGACTGGTTTTCTTTCACACTGGAACCTGACAAAATGTTCATCTGAGACTGCATCCCAACCTCCATATATTCGATCTTCATCACCATGGAAATGGTGGCAAAAAGTGAAAGGGGGGACTTGTTAGGGGAAAAGGCTGTCCCAAAGCAAATTCCATACAGGCTTCGTGGACTCCACCCCCACCCCAGGCCAAAGCCAAAGACACTGGGAACTCCACATCCCATCCCCACCCAAGGGAAGGTGGCTGGGACCTGAGGGTGGGGTGCAGCAGCCAGGTGGATAGAAAAGGCAGACACGTGGGCTTTGGGGGGACCACCCTGTTACACTATAACAATACCAGCATGTCAAATCCTCACTCACTTTACGCTTTCCTGGACGCGGCACTCGTGTGGATGGACGTCCTATTTCAAGTCAAACCCCCTTTGCTCGGTGTCAGGCCTTGTTCTCTCCCTCCCTCCCCTGCTCCGTTTTCCTTCACCCAACATTTAATCAGCAACCAGGACACTATGTTTTTGGCATGTTCATGTTGCTGGCTGTCTTTCTCACTGCTGTAGCCCTGAGTCAGGGCTCAGTGATTTAATTCTAGTTGCTTAATGAATACATGATAGATGTTTGGATTGTTACGGGGCAGCCTCGATATAAAACGGGTTGCCCCCTAACAGGATTGTTTTTTAAGAAAGGGGAAACTAGTTTAAAATGTGGAATTGTTCCATGACAAAGCACCTAGAAACACTCCCAAAGCACTTTGCAAAAGGCAACAGAAGCCAACACAGCGTCTTACTTCTACCGTAACTGCAGGCAGTCTCAGGCTTGCTCGGTGTGTGTCTCTTTAAAGAGGGGACTGCCTCGTTTTCTTGGCCTCAGGCACACTTCCTCTAAGCAAGGGAGAAAGGATGACCCTGTTAGGCCATTGGTTTAAATCCAGGCCAAATAAACACAGGACCGGGCCTGCAGGTTAGCAAGTTTAAACAGAGCTTAACCCCATCCCCCCTCGGGCCCTGCCACTTCCTGAATATGAATGAGCCGATTGGCAGTCTGCAAGGAATTTTTCTAGGAGAGGCTGAAATTTGACACACAGACATTCTTCTGGTTAAATTTAGTCTTTCAAAGTGCTGGGCAATTTTAACTTTTTATTTATTTATTTATTTATTTATTTATTGCATAAATCTCTCTTTTTTAAAGATTTATTTATTTTTATACAAGAGCTGGGGGACGGGGCAGAAGTGCGGGAGGGTGAGAGGATTCACCAGAGACAGAGAGGGGAGCAGAACAGGCAGAAGTGTTGCAGGGCCTGGCTGTGGGTCCTCACCCGCGGAGAGGTCACCTGGTCTGAGGAGGTGCACGTGCGGACAGATGGGGGTAGCGCACTGTGGCCCAGAACTGCCGATCAAGCGATCCTCTGTGCCTCAGCCTCCCAAGTAGCTGGGATTACAGGCGCGAGCAACCTTCCCTTCGGTGGTGGTGATGGGATCTGTCTTTCCCAGTGTCCTGATGGCTTTGGTCTGGAGTGGGGGTGGAGTCCACACAGCCTGTATGGGATTAGCTCAGGACATCCTTTTTCGCCTAACAGAAGGATCAAAAACACTGCTGAGGGGAGCAGCCGGGAGGCAGGAGAGGGCTGCCTCCGCATGTGGGAATCTCCCTGGCTGGCCCGATATCGACCTGCGCTGCAGAGGCTGTGGACAGCTTCACAGCGCTGCGCTCAACCCGCTGCGCCTCCGGGGAGGCCCCAATTTTAACTTTTTAAATAAGCTTGCTAATGGGCCTCCCCGGGGGCGCAGCGGTTGAGCGCTGGGTTGCGAAGCTGCCCGCAGCCTCTGCAGCGCCGGTTCAATTCCCGGCCACTGGCGAGGGTCCCCCATGGCGCGCAGACCTCTCCTGCCGCCCGTGGCTCCCCTCAGCAGTGTACTTCGGTCCTTCTGCCTGCTCTGCTCCCCGCTCTGGCTCTGGTGAATTCTCTCACCCTCCCGCGCTTCTGACTGTACCCAGTGCTTGTATGAATAAATACATAAATCTTAAAAAAAAAAAAAAGCTTGCTAAGTGAATTCTACATGCCTGGCACTGGGCTGGGGGCTGTGACAGTCCTTATGTTCCCCACCCCACAAACCTGCTTAACCCCAGGAGTTTTCAAATGGAAATGTTCAGTTAACCAATACATTTATCAAAATGTGCAGTGATTGTTCCATGTTACAGACACTTGGCAGGGACTAGAGAAATCGAAACAAGAAAGAAGATGGACGAGGCGTTTATTTAGAAGGTCAGCCGACCGGGTTGGTGATTACGTGGACACGGCATAAAGAGCGTGGAGGAGTGCATGACAGTACATTAGAGGAAGGGCAGACGAATGACACGGGTTGGGGGAGAGAGCGCCCCCATCGTGAGGGTCTGTGGATAAGGTTTAGGGGTGAGTAGAGACAAGGGCAAATGCGAGATAGGGCTTGGAGGGTCATCAAGCATACTGCAGGAAGAGATGCATTTCCTCAGGGGAAGGGTAGAGAGAAGCGTGGCACTCCAGGCGCGCCTGGAACGCACAGTGAGTAACGGAGAGGGGTACCGAGCTCTCGAACGGGAAACTTGAATGGAACGAACATATCAGTTCTCACCGAACTTAACCACGTATTTCACTGACGCATGGTGCAAGCTGATAAACATCCTGAAATTCCTACGGAACAGTGAGAGTCCAGGTGGCGCCAAGGCAGCCCTGCCCGAGAAGAAGGAGAGGGTCGTGTCCCACGGGAGCTAAGGCAGTGCAGGGGGCTCAGGTTACAGAAATCAGCGGGGGATTTAGAGAAGGTCCAGAAAGGGACCCGTGTGTGAGTAGGGTTTTGGTATTTGGTAGAGGCAGGATCGACCAGAAAGAGGGGCTATTGCTAACATGGTATTGGGGAAACTTGTTTTCTGTATGGAAAGTAAAGTTAGCTCACTCGCTCCCTTGACCTGTGTGCAGAGATGATGCTGAGTGATCTCAAAGACGCTATGTCTCCTCCACCTGCATCTCTCTGAACTGCTCTTGGGAGCCCTGCCCCTTCTTAGAACAGGACCTTGGAGTCCCACCTGGACCCTGTGGCTTCTTAAGCAAAATCCAGTGGTTCCCAGGTTGGCCGAACCTCTGGGGCGCTCATGCTTGTACCTCCCGATCTAGCGCTATAGCTGCACACAGAGGCACTCTATAAATGCTGGTGACTGGGGCCTCCCTGGTGGCACAAGGGGCTAAGACGCAACCTATGAAGATGTCCACAGCCACTGCAGCACGAGTTCGATCCCACAGGGCGCAGCAGACCTCTCCTGTCTCCCCGCTGCTCCCCTCAGCAGTGGATTTCAGTGGCTCCACCTGTTCTGCTCCCCACTCTGTCTCTGGTGAGTCCTCTCACCCCCTGCATTTCCGGCCTGCACCCCGTTCTTGTTCTTGTGTGCATAAATAAATAAATCTTAAATAAACAAATAAATAGGGCCTCCCTGGGGGTGCAGAGGGTTGAGCACTGCACTATGAAGCAATCCACAGCCTCTGCAATACGATTTTGATCCCTGGCGGCCAGGGAGCAACCCCCATGGCACAGCAGAGCCCTCCTGTCTCCCCGCTGCTCCCCTCAGCAGTGCATTGCGTCAATCTGCCTGTTCTGCTCCCCACTCTGTCTCTGGTGGATCCTCCCGCCCCCTGCACCCCAACCCTTGTATGCATAAATAAATAAATCTTTAAAAAACTAAACAAATAAATAAATGTTGGAGACTGAAATTGTTCTGGAAGGGGCTGTGGCTGTGGAAAAGGGACCCACAGCCCAGAGAAAATAACCCTCCATGCCCGGAATGCCCAGCTTCAAGGAGCCCGTGGGTGCTGGGGTGACCTCCCCCGTCTGAGCGGGTGAGCCTGAGCGCCCACGGCCCCTCCCTTGACGGGGAGCCCAGAGCACACGCGGCACCTCAGCAAGCTCCGCGGTGCGCTCCGGCCGCTGCGGCCCAGGGCCCGCGCCCAGCGCCCAGCACCCAGGCCCGTGCCCAGCGCCCGCGCCCAGCGGCCTCTACAACGCCGGCCGGCGCCGCCCCAGCGATCCCGGGGCTGACGGGGAGGTCCCCGCTGCGTCCGCAGACGCCAGAGTGAAACTTTCACCCCGAAGCCTCACATGCGACGGCGGCACAGACGGCCCAGAGGTGCCCGCGGGAGTGGACGGGGCGCACGGCCCGCGCCCCCCACGCTGTGGCCCCCGGGGGGCTCCGGGCGCCAAGTCCGGGGGGGGGTGGCCCCCCGCCGGGCCCGCATCTGCCCACGCGCCGTCCCGTCCCGCGGGCGCCCCGCGCGGAGCCGCGTCCGAGTGGGGCGGGGGCGGGTCCGGGCCGGCTGGGGCGCCCGGGGCGGGGCCCACGGCGGCGGGGCGGGGCGGGGCGGGGCCAGGGGCGCCCGCGGGGTGCGGGCGGCGGGGCGGGGCGGGGCCCGGAGGGGCGGGGCGGGGCGGGCGGCCGGGGCAGAACCGGGGGCCGGAGGCGGGGCCGGGGCGAGGCCGGAGGCAGGTGGGCGGCGCGGGGCGGGCGGGGCGCCCCGGCGGGACGCGGACCCGGCGCCCCAGACTCCGCAGCCGGCGGCTCTCGGCCTGCGCGCGGCCCGCGTCGGGGGCGTCGGGGGCGTCGGGGGCGTCGGGGGCGCGCGGGCGGCGCGGGCGTCGGGGGCGCGCGGGCGGCGCGGGCAGGTGCGGGCAGGTGCGGCGCGCGGGCGGCGCGGGCGCGGGGATGCGCAGGCCGGACGGCAAGATCGTGCTCCTGGGCGACGTGAGCGTGGGCAAGACGTCGCTGCTGCGGCGCTACATGGAGCGGCGCTTCGCGGACGCGGCCAGCACGGTGGGCGGCGCCTTCTACCTGAAGCAGTGGCGCTCGCACCACATCTCGCTCTGGGACACGGCAGGTGAGCCCGCCCCGCGGGGCCCCCCCCCCGTCCCCTGCCCCGCGGGCCCCCCCTGCTGCGGACGCCCCGGCCCGGCGCTGCCCGGCTGGGACGTGCCCCCGAGCTCCCGCCCGTCGCGGCGCCTCCTGGGGGCGCGACTCGCGGCAGACCCGCCCCGGGGCGCGGAACGGTGGCCCCTGTCCGTGGCGGCCGAGAGGACACGAGGCCGGGACCCCCCCCCGGCCCCCCGCCCCCCCCCGCCCGCGGGGCGCCCGCGCCCGCCGCTGCCGCCGTCCAGGCCCCTCTGCACCTGCCTGGCCGCGGGTCACGCGTTCGGGAGTTTGGGGCGTTTCAGGGTGGGTGACCGCGCGCCGCACCCCTGCGGGCCTTGGCCGGGAGGCCCAGCGCCCGGCGCCCCGGCCCGCGGCGTGCTGTCCTGCTGTCCTGCTGTCCTGCTGTCCTGCTGTCCTGCTGTCCTGCTGTCCTGCCGGCCGCCGGCCTCGCGCACAGGGCGGGCGCACCGGGCGGGACGCCGCCTGCCCCGGGCCCGCAGCCCGGGCTCCAACCCTGGCTCTTGCGTGTGTGCGCCCCGAGGTCTAGGCCTGGAATTCTTAAAATCGCAACTTGGGGTGCTCGTCTGCAAAACAGCCAGACGGTCGCTGTCCTCTGCCTGGGCCACCGGACTGCACTGGCCACCTCCCGCCAGCCCTGCTGCCTTGGGGCCTCGTTCTCCCGGCTGCCCCGCGAGTGCCGCCGCCAGCGCTTCCCCGGGTCCGGGAGAAAGAGCCTCCCGGGTGCAAAGGGCCCCTCCGCGCCCTCCCCCAGCCCAGGCTGCCCCCAGCTGAGAGTGCCCCTCCCCGCTCACCCCCAGGCAGGCACTTGGCGGGGGTGGAGCCCAGGCCCAGTAGGAGGTGGAGCCCAGTGGCCACACCTGCCTTGCCAGCCGGGCTGCCGGCCACCTGTGCTGGCGCTGGACTTCACCGTTGACCTTGGTGCAGAGAGCGTGTTGCAGGGGTGGCAGCGGGGCCGGGGCGAGCCCTGCTGGGGCCAGCTGCCACCTCACGAGGTTTCTGGGGCCGGAGCTGACCCCCAGTTCGGGTGCAGGTGGCCCTGGCACTGAGCATGAAGCAGCACGTGCTGTTGACCGGCCCGCTCCCCCTCGGGGCCGAGGTGGGATTGCGCCAGGCGGCTCATGGGATCGCGGTCATCTTGTGGGCTGTGGGGGCGGCTCACTTCCTGGCCGCCAGGCAGCACCTCCTTCCTGGAGCCCTGAGTGTGGCCCAGCCACGCTTCCGGGCGGCCCTTCTCCATCTGCTGACCTCTCGGGTGCAATGCAGGCCGGCGCCGGCTCCCGGGGCGGCGGGGTGCGTGCTGCTCCGAGGGGAGGTGTGCTAGGTGCCTTTTCCGGGATGTTAGCTGTGGGCCTCTCCTGCCTTAGCTTTCTGTTCACTGCAGGCAGTGCCTTCCAAGCTGTGCTCACTTCAGTGCCCATAACCTGCAGAGGAGCAGGGCCCGCTGGGGGTCCTGACGGGGCTGGGGCTCGGGTGGGCGTGTGGGTGTGGCGCGCATGGGATGTTTAAGAGTCACTGGACAGCGGCAGGGGGTCAGGCTCTGTCTTACTCTGGGCTTCCTCTTTCCAAGGGCAAAGTCCCTGGGGCTCGGAGCCCGTGCAGTGGAGCCAGGCAGGCTGGAGGGGGGACCTGCTGGGCTCGCCGTGGGTTCCCCTCAGCCAGCCCCGGACCCAGTCAGCGGGGGAGACCCAGTCCCGCACTGGAGATGGGAGTCGCTGCAGAAGCTGACTGGGCCCGGACCTGGTGGGTCCAGGGGCGGCCACCCCCTTCAGGGTGCCCTCGTGGCTCCCCACCCTCATCTCGTGGGGCGGATGGACTTGGGGTGGTCAGTGCCCCAGAGGAGACCGTGTCCTGAGGGAACATGCCCAAACCTCCGGTCCATCTTGCCTGCCTGCGGCCCACCTCGCCCGCCTCCGGTGCACTGGAACAGTCTGGAAAGATGTTGCCCCTCCCCCAGGAGACATAAACCAGACCTGCCGTGTGCGGGAGCAGGTAGCTCAGCGGCGCAGGTGGATTTGCACAGGCCCCCAGGGGAGGGGCCCTGAGGTCGGTGCCACTGCGCTTTGCCAGCTCAAGTTCTCCTGAAAGAAGCTGGAAGCGATGGGGAGACTTGGGTGGGGGACGTGCTGACCAACCGGGGCGGTCGTCACCGAGACACCATGTCCGAGCCTGCGCCTGGCCACACCGGCCGCGGCACCCACCAGGGCGGGCCTGCATGTGTCTGGGAAACGCTCTTCGGAGATGTGTCCCCTTCGCTGTTGACCTCATGCCTGACAGGTGGGGCCAGCGGCACTGGGGGCTCTGCTTGGGGCCAGTCTTCCCCACCTGCCCGCCAGAAGGTGTCCCGTCCTAGCACTCGCAGGAGGAGCCCGCATGGTGGGGAGGCGGGACGGGCTCGGCCACCCAGGGCCACAGTGGGCCCCACGGGCTCTGCCTCCTGTGCCCCAGGCTCAGGCTGGAGAAGCCAGAAATTCGGGACGACCAAGGGCTCAGATAGAACAAAGTGAAAAGGAGAACGGGGGGCTGTCCAAGGGAGGCGCCTAGTGAGGCGGGAGCAGGACAGCGAGGAGGGGCCCAGCCAAGCACCGGCGCCGCCCCCCCCCACCCCACCCCCCCCAGCAGGGAAGCCAGGGCCCCCACCCCTACCGGTGGCCGAGGGTCAGTGACTGGCACCCCGCCAGGTGGAGAGGAGCCCCCACCTCAGGTGCCCGGTGGCCTCGGGGCCTCTGGCTGGGCAAAGCGGTGGAGCGGGCGCCTGGAGTTGGGGGCTGCAGGGACCCGGCCTCACGTCGCCCCACAAAAATGCCCAGCCCGACACCATCACTGCCTTGCAAGGCTCGCCCACAGGGGCCGGGGAGATCGTGGGAGTCAGAAGAGACCCCGGAGCGACCCCAGCGGAGGGGCCGGGGCCGGCCAGGCGGACAGAGCGAGCGCAGCCCCTAGAGCAGCCTCGAGGCCGATTTAAACAAGAGCCACGTGGACGCTGGGCGCGAGCACAGTGATCCAATGGAAGTCAGGGGGCGGCTGCGGGGGCCGGGCGGGGAGCAGCGGGGAGCGCAGAGAAAACCCAGCGGGGAGGGGGCAGGCCCGGGGACCAGACACCACAGGCAAGTCCTGGACGCAGCAGAGAAGGAGGGGCCGGCGGGTGCTAGAAGAGTGGCCGGCAGCGCCCAAATTCGGCAACACACCTAACCCTGCAGGCTCCGAAGCGGAGAGAATCCCAGAGAAACCCGCGCCGGAGCCAGCGTCGCGGGACTCACCCGAGGGGGAGCAGCAGTGTCCTTCCCCGGGAGCGGCGTGGCCCGGCCCTGGAGGAGGCAGCCGGCCCCGCGCGGAGGTGGCACCGCGCCGTGTCCTCTTCCCGCCTGGATGGCGACTCCGGAAAGACGTGGCGTGGCGTGAGGCTCGGCCTGGTCTGGGCCTTGGCGCTGCTCTGTCTCAGGTCCCCGGGGTGGACGCCGCGTCATGCGCTGTTGGGCGCACCTGGCGCTTCCTCCCGCTTGGATTTTAAAAGCTTTTGTTTTGGGCCTCCCGGGGGCCCTGGGGCGAAGTCTCAGGCCTCACCGCTGCGGCCTGAGTCCATCCCGGGCCAGGGAGCTGCCCACACGGCGCAGCAGCCCTCTCCTCCCCGCGCTGCGCCCCTCAGCAGTGGATTTCAGTGGATCTGCCTGTTGGGCTCCCCGCTCTGTCTCTGGGGAGTCCTCTCACCCCCACCTCTGGCCTGTACCCCAGTTTCTATGCAAAATAAATAAAAAAAATTTTGTTTTTATGGTTCAAAAATTGGCAACAAATTTTAGGTAGAAATAGTTGTGTTTTGGTAAAATTGGCTTGGTTTTGTTTTTGACCAAGGTTTACTTATTGAGGTTTCTTTACATACAATTAAATCCACTCGCCCCCCCCATGGAGCCGAGAAAGTGGACCCCATCTGGTTCTGGTTCTGCGGGACCACGCCAGGCTCTGAGCCCACCACAACTGCCTGTGGGGGACACGCGACTTGGGGTGCCTGCCGTGAGACCGAAGTCGGGGCCCTCCCGTGCTGAGTGGCAGTTTTTACCTTGGCCAGACAACCTCGTCTTTGCCTGAGGTCACAGCCAAGCTCGCTCGGCCCACACCCACCTGGGCGTGCTCTTGTGCCAAGGCCGGTGATCATGTCAGTGACCTGGACACTGTCCGCGCCGACCCACCACAGGGGTGTTCCTGGTGCCCGGGAGATTCCTAACAGGGAAAGTGGACACCCCAAAACAAACCGGGGAGGAGGCTGGGGCGAGGACAGGCCCAAGCTGCCTGTGTCCTGCTGCTGCACCTGACGTTCTCCTGACTCAACCTTTTTCTTTCATGTTAAATAATTCAAGGCGGAAGGAGAGATCAGCTAACACCAGAATCTAATCTCTGGGCGTTACTTACCACACTGTCCTCTCTGCGGACTCCCCAGGTGAGGGTCCAGCAGAGGTGTTGCTTGCAGAGTAGCTCCGCTCCCCTCGCCCTCCCTGCGGCCAGGCAGCCAATCTGTGCACATCTCAGCTTTGTGACCCACACGCCCTGCAGGCGCGGCCACAGGCCGGGGCTCTGGGAGGGTCACCAGCTGCAGCTGCACCCCTGGGCTCGCCATGCACGTTCTCCAGCACTTGCAGAAGCACATTCCAGACCTGAGGAATTTCCAGTCCAGTTAACCCTGCTGAGCCACCGAGCATCCGCAGCCCCCTCCCCCATGGAAGCTTCTAGCACCTGGCAAGTGTGGCCCTGGCACATGGCCAAGCAGTCTGCAGCCTCTCTGCACCTTTGCTGGGTGCAGGGAACCAAGAAGGAGGCGGGAGCGGGTGTGCACCACCCAGCCAGCTTGCGGGGCCCCGAGGAGTGTCGTGTTCACGCCGGATCTCATCCTGGGCTGATGAGAGCTGCCTGCACGGCTCAGGGCTCCCAGCATTGCCCTCAAGGCCAGGTGTGAAGACC